AAACTGCACAGGCGACCCCGTCAGAAGGCACTTTCTGGAGAAGGTTAAAGTAAAACTGCACAGGCGACCCCGTCAGAAGGCACTTTCTGGAGAAGTTTAATGTCATGAATTGCAATATTAAATTTACAAGGGACATGCAAAAAAAGACAAATGCATTATGAGCTGATATGGACTCTTTAATGATCTCAGCACAAACGTTCAACTTAAGGCACTTTTATTTTGCCAACAAGTAACAATTAGCAAGAGAGTAATGGTTCACTATGAAACAACACATAGCTAATGCACTAGAATGTGGTGTGAAGAGGAGACATTTTTCTTTTCCTGCCTAGTGTCCATTTTCTATCAAGGTTACAAGCACGGGAAAGATGAACTTTGCAGCCTCCGTGTAAATTTACCATTTGATGTACATTTTGCCAGAACCTACAGAAAACAAGCACTCAGACTCTGATTAGACGTATCGTTGGTTCACACTAAAATTTTTCATTGATGGGAAATACAAAATGTTTCAGTAAATGCATTTAAAAATAAATGCAGGCTAAATTTTCCACATGTAAAAAAGCAACCTCACACTTGCACATCACAAAGTGTGAAAAGGGGAGGAATTACATGTTGTCCAAATACATTAACTTAAAAACCTTTATAAAATACAGTGAAACTCATTTAGCTTTTACACTCTTAGGTCGGGACTCTGGGGTTTGAGCTGCTTCTGAGGAGAGTTTTCCCAGGAAGTCATTGTTTTAGCATTCTTTTATTTCAATGACAATTCTTCAGGAACATGTTTGGAAGAGTCTACCACTGTATTTAAATTTCCATCAACTCTAGTCACACAATGCTGCTTTTCTCTAGTGCACTGTATGCATGTTACGTGCTTCATTCAAGCTGACTTGGGCATCCTACGACTGTGTGTGTGTGTGATCTTCCAGTTTCTACCCCACTTTCCTCCATGTAGGAATGGCAGGAATCCATGAAAGGCTCTGGGCTCCGTGTGCGTGTCAGCCCTGGCCGTGGGGTCACTGGGAGGCTGTTTTTCTCACCAGCTGTTTTCTCTACGCTCTGGGGCTGCAGGCTCCAGGGTGCCCACTGCACTGCACTGCACCCTCACAGGGATGGCAAACGGAGCAGGGGAAGAGCTGCTTCCATGGGGGAATTAGGACAACACGGCATGAGACTTCAACCTAAACAACATCTGTCTCAGGAATTCAAGACAATTATGGAGAGCTTTTTTTTTTTGTGATCACTTCAATACAAACAAATACATTTGCTCAAAAAAATATAAGAAGAAAAAGAAAAAGAATCAGTCAGGATAGAAAACACTTAGGAAATTGACTAAAGGAAAAATTCCCATTGCTTTTCTTTTCTTTTGTCAGTCGTGGGGCCTGAACTCTGGGCCTGGGTGCTGTCCCTCAGCTCTTCAGCTCAAGGCAAGCGCTCTACCATTGAGCCAGCTTCCCAGCCCCCCACATTGCTTTTCTTAGAATATACAGTGGAAAAAAGCTCTGCATTTTTACTAAACTTCCAAATTCCCACTTTAAAACAAGAAAAATCTACCCATAGATTTCATATACAAAATTATTAATAAATTAACTTAAAAACATGTAAAGTGCATACAAATGCTATGCAAATATAACACTCATTCTTAAAACAGTATTACTGCTGTTTGTAATATAGACTATAAAAATATATGGTTCCAACTGAAAAAATGGTGTTTTAACTATCCATAATCTTTGAAAAGAAGCCAGCAAGGACGGGGCACAATGTTCACACTTGGGTGGACCTATCACTCTCAGGAAGTGGAAGATGCATACAACCAGATGAAAGATAAAGATACGTCTTCTGAAAGCAGAGAGAACGTTAACTTAGTGAAAAGAAGGGTGTGTAATGTTTTGGCAAAGTCTTTCCCAGCCCATAGTAAACACACAATGAGCGGCTGGAGCGAGATATTTTCACAGTGTACAAAGCAGTTCACACGGCTGCTGCCACAGCAACGTGAGCTGAGACGCGTCTGAGCTCAGGCTCTGCCATGCGAGACCCGCCTGGGAGATTCAGTAAATAATCACAGGGTGATCTGTACAGACGCTGCCTGGAGCTGTACTAGCTACATTTAAAAAAAGTAGTTCTATGTAGTTTGCTCGTTGTAGACAAATCTCACAGTATGCTCAACTATATTACATGTAAAAATTATACGGCCCAAAGAAAAGGAATTAACACAGAACTTGGGAAAATACCCCCACACGTTTTAAAATGCCCTGCAAGTTTCACATTCAAAATTTTATGCATCTAAATCTAAAAAAATATTATATGGAGTACTTTTAAATTTACACAAACTGATAATAATTTACTGTATTCTTATTCTTATTATCTAATAGGAGCAAATTACCACATACTTGAACAAAGTTAAAATAGTTACTATTTCTTTATAATAAATTTGATGTATAATTTACTTGTGCTTTTTGCACCAACTTATAAATACAGTATATGTAATGCACAATCAAGATGGACAACATTGATAATTAAATTCAAAACAGCAAATACTTACCTCACAAAATAAACATTAATGACACCTTTTATGAAAACCGGGGTCTCTGGATGCCAGGTCTGGGCAATGTGGCATCCCAGGCCAGCCGCAGGACTGGCAGGAGGACCCAACCCAGGCAGTCGCGTCTCCCAAGCTGATAGCCAGCCAGCAGGACGCTCCGCTGCAGTCCCTGTGGGCCTGTTCCTTCCCAAACACTCGTGCCAAGGCGCTTACTACTGAAAACAAATCGGGGTGCAGCTGCTGACGGGCTCCCAGGGACCTCGGGGTGGGGGGCTCATGCGGAAGCCTTGAAAGAAGTTCAAGTACTAAGCAACAGATTGCTTCAGCACCTTTGACCACAACAGAAGCAAAGTCCTACATAAATAAGAATGAAGTTTATAAAGTGCTTATGAAATGATAAAACATTTCAAATAACTGTCCGATTCACCACCACAGGTGAATGAATGGGTCACTTTCCTGCACGATCTGCCATGCCTTTCCAATCAGCAGTTTGGTCCGCCAGTTTTGAAACAATGATACCTTTTTCACCATTAACAAATACATAAATATTTAAACTAACCATAATTCCTTCTGTAAATATGAGATTAAAAAAAGCACCAATTGCAAAAGGCTTGCTATCACACTCTGGTGTAGGCTGCATAATCTACATTTTTAAGTCTGCTTTAAAGTTGAATGTGACAACACCAAACCACGTGTTCGCTTTTCCATTTAAATGCCTCTGTATGAAATACAGCATAAAATATCGGAAAACATCAAAGAAATGAAAGCCCGCAAGGACCTCTGTCTGGGTGACTAATACATTAACTTTGCCTTTCTACGCTCCAGGGCACACATGAAGAGCACGTCTTTGTTTCCAGGTCTAGAAGTGTGAAGGGTGTCCATACGGAGCCTCTCCCTGCTGTGGCTGGTTACCTAGCGAGAAAAACAAGGACAAGTTCAAATTACAGACGCGGTGAAATTCTGCTTTCCTCTTGCCACCGTCCTCAGGAACAGCCCCAGGAACAGGGAATAGATATTCCTTGGGCAGATGCTGTTCTAGTCCTTGCAGACCCTGGCAGTGGGGTCCACGTAGTGCTGAGTCCACTCTGCAGAGGGGCAGACGGATGCACACAGGAAGTCAGCAGACACCAAGCACGGAGGGACTGCTGGCTGCCCCTCGGGGGGCCTGTGTGCAGGTCGCGCAGGGGCCCCCAGCAGCCAAGGAGGCTGCCCTCGTGCTACCGGCTGATATGGGGAGGCCGTCCGCAGCTCTGTCGTCCATTGTTAGCTGAATACTCTTGCAAAACCAATTCATTTGTTTGTACTTCTGGTGAAATTAGTTCTTCAGTAAGAACATCTAATCTCATAGTGCTGTTAAAAAATTAAAGCCACAGGTTCCAGAAAAAGTGGATCTAGAAGATGCATTCCTCCAGCAAGTAAGAGCAGATACACTCCCCAAAGAGGTGTATTATACAAAAGCCACGGGCGGCAGGGCGCTGGTGGCTCACGCCTATAATCCTGGCTACTCAGGAGGCTGAGATCTAAGGATTGCGGTTTGAAGCCAGCCTGGGCAGGAAAGTCTGTGAGACCCTTATCTCCGATTAACCACCAGAAAACTGAAGTGAAGCTGTGGCTCAAAGTGGTAGAGCACTAGCCTTGAGCTGAAGAGCGCAGGAATAAGGCCCAGGTTCTGCGTTCAAGCCCCACGACCAACCCCCCCCCATCAAAAAAAAAATCATAGGCACCAATTTCTAGATACTTGAAAAAAAAATTCTGCCTTAAGATTATTTTCTCTCAAGAACATAAACTCTAGAATTAATGAAAATATAATGAAGTCTTAATTGCAAAGTGCTGTAATATCTATCTATAAAAGATTTACTTGATATAAATGAAATTAAATGACAGTTATAAGATAGCATTTTAACAGAAAAATGCAAACAAAACCTTAATTATGACAGGCAGAGAGACACAAAAGTGTAGGCAAAGCCTTCCCTCTGCTAGGCAAGACCACACACACAGCAGCCAGGCAGGAAGTCAAGCTTGGGCCCGGCTGGGTGGGGGCCACACATAGGCCTGTCCTGCAGCACGGGCAGGCTGTGAGCCCCAGACAGCTGCCCTCTGCACAGACTGCTCTCCACTGCATCTCAGGAACACAGACCTGAGACCCAGGGAAAATGGCTCACTTTCGTTCTTGCTGTGCAGCCTAAAACAAAACAAAGCAAAACAGACAAACAAACCAAAGCAAATTCATATGACTCAAGAAACCAAGAGACTTGTGCTTTTACAGAATGCCCCAAATTAAAAATATCTCCAGGTTTAGGCCAGATGCTGGTGGCTCATGCCTGTCATCCTAGCTACTCAGGAGGCTGAGACCTGAGGATCACAGTTCAAAGCCAGATGGGGCAGGAAAGTCCATGAGACTCTTATCTCCAATAAATCATTAGAAAACGGGAAGTGGCGCTGTGGCTCAAGCCATAGAGTACTAGCCTTGAGCTGAAGAGCACAGTGACGGCGCCCAGGCCCAGGGTTCAAACCCCACTACCGACCAAAATAAATTAAAAAAAAAAAATATATATATATATATATCTCCGGGTTTTAAAGTCAGGCGGCAGTGGCTCACACCTGTCATCCTAGCTACTGAGGAGGCTGACATCTGAGAGGATCACAGTTCAAAGCCAGCCCAGCAGGAAAGTCTCTGTGAGATTCTTATCTCTAATTAGCCAATCTCTAATTAGCCAATCACAAACTTGAAGTGGCGCTATAGCTCAAGTGGTAGAGCACTAGCCCTGAGCACAAAGAGGCTGAGGGACAGAGCCCAGGCCCTGAGTTCAAGCCTCACACCGGCAAAAAAAGGAAAAAAAAATCCAGGATTAGACAAAAGGAAACATACCGAGTTTAGAAAAAGACTGGAAAAACAGTATTTGGACTGAAATCACACTCTTGAACTGCCCCACATGTGACCCAGTGTCGAGGAGCCCGCCAGGCCTGAGGCCACGCCGCGCCGCCACCGGTTTCCAAAGCGCGGCAGCCTGGCACGGCGCCAGTGGGTACTTACTGGACAGCTGCTTCTGGAGCTGGCGCACCAGGGCGGCCGTCTGCTGCTGCTGCTGGGTCTGTTGCAGGCCCTGCCGGGGGAGCTGCAATGCAACAGGACAGAGGAGGGGTCAGCCTCAGGGCCGCCACAGACAGACGGACGGCAGTGCGTCCGTCACAGACAGACGCGCTTCAAGAGCAGGGGGCTGGGCCCAGTGTAGACTAGTCAGTTTCCATCTACATCTTGGTGCACGTCTGGTAGACAGCCGAGGTCCACACTGCTCAGAGACACAATGACACAAAAATGGCACAAAGACTGTTCTTGACCGACTGCTGTAGACCTTGCTTGCATGCACAGAAGAAAAGCAGGCCCTGACCTGAAGAGGATGCAGGCTGGGTCGGCCCAGAGCGCTAACTAAATGAAAGAAGTAAGACACTGTCCTTCACACGCAGCCTTTATGGCTTTCAACACAGAAGGAAAAAATTATGAAAAACCTACTATGGCTGGTCATCCCAGCTACACAGGAGGCTGAGATCTGAGGATCACAGTTCAAAGCCAGCCCAGCAGGAAAGTCAGTGAGACTCTTATCTCCAATAAACCATTCAGAAAAAGCTGGAAGTGGCACTGTGGCTCAAGTGGTAGAGCGCTTGCCTTGAGCTGAAGAGCTCAGGGACAGCACCCAGGCCCAGAGTTCAAGCCCCACAACCAACAAAAAAGAAAAAAGAAAAGAAAAAACAAAAAACCTACTACAGATTTCAGTACCCACTTGAATTACTAGGAATGATGCAGGACACTGGCAGCTCACACCTGTCATCCTAGCTACTCAGGAGGCTGAGATCAGAGGATCAGAGTTAGAAGCCAGCCCAGGCAAGAAAGTCCATGAAACTCTTATCTCCACTAAAACTACCCAAAAAAGCTGGAAGTGGAGCTGTAGCTCAAGTGGTAGAATACTAGCTTAGAGAACAAAACCTCAGGAACAGTGTCCAGGCCCTGAATTCAAGTCCAGGACCAGCAAAACCAAACTTCAGCAAAACAAACCGAAACCTCTGAATGAGATGGGCGCTGGTGGCTCACGCTGTCATCTTAGCTACCAAGGAAGACGAGAGCTGAGGACCACAGTTCAAAGCCAGCCCACCCAGAAAAGGTTGTGAAACTCTTATCTCCAATTAACCAGCAACATGCCAGACGTGGGAGTGTGGCTGAAATGATACAGTGCCAGCCCTGAGCAAAAATGCCCAGCGAGCGTGTAAGACTGCAAGTTCAAGCCCCAGTGATGGCATAAAAAATAAAATAAACTCACTACGAATGTTTCTCTAAAATTATTTCCCCATGAACACCACAAGGAGAAAAACCACATGCACACTCTGAACAGCATGCTCAATCCAAGGGGAACGGCGTGAGACCAGTAGAAACAGACCACACACTGGAAACCTCCGTGCTTGCCGTGCCCCCACCCCCACACACAGTGTGCCGACTCGACACCCAAAAGATGCGCCTCACATATCAGAATCACAAGTTGAGAAGTTAAAATACTGATCAATTTAAAGTTTACTTTTTGTTTACATAGGTGTTGCACAACAATCTCCCTATTAGCAACTGCTACCCAAAGTTTTGGGTACCTTATAATTGCATGTCCAAGGGTCCATTTGTGACTTGGTGGCAGAGTGCTAGCCTTGAGCAAAAGAACCTCAGGGGCAGGGCCGAGGCCCAGAGCTCTAGCCCTCGGACCAGAAGCAAAACAAAACAAAAAAACAGGTTAAGACTTTTCTGCTCAGCACCAACTATTTCAAACATGTAACATGATTTAATTTCAGTGACATTAGTTATTTTTGGCTTTCCTTAAGAATGCCAGCAGCATGTTTGGTTGTACTATATACAGTAAGAAGGAGATCTAACAGATGCTCCACAGTGGAGGGGGATGTAGGCTGCTCCCTTGGTTGCACAGTCTAGCATCACGGGTTGGACAGACTCTCACGTGTGGAAGCCCGGTGTGAAAGGCAGGCGTACACACCACACACCCAGGGTGCTACCCACAGGCACGCGGCGGCTAACGCAAGAGCCCAAAGCTGAAATTCCTCTCAACCACCAATGCACCCCAAGCAGCATGCTTCAAGTGGCAGCATGTTTGTGGTAAGGGCTGTGTGGAGGGGCACAGGAGGAGAGGGAGGAAAGGGAGAAAACGCAGTCATCACCGTCACTGTACATTCCCTAACAACCGAACTGCGCGAGTTGAGGTCGGAATGGGCGGGGAAACAGGTGAAAAGCGGCTGAAGCGCACTGATCTAAACGCACTGCAGTAACAGCCTGACACAGGGAGTGTACAACCACTTAATAATAACATACAGTAAGAAAAAATATGACTTAAGAGCTGCGTGCTTGTGGCTCACACCTGTAATCTCAGCTACCGAGGAAGCTGAGCTCTGAGGATCACGATTCAAAGCCAAGTGGTGCAGGAAAGAATGAGAGACTCTCATCTCCAATTAACCACCTAAAAACTGGAAACTCCAAGTAATACAGCATTAGTTCTGAGCACAAAGGCTCAGGGACAGTTCCCAGGCTCTGAGTTCAAGCACCACAACTGACAAAAATAAAAAAAGCAAAACACCTCAAAACTTAAAGAGACAGGCAAATAGGGAGACGAGAACGTTCTTTCTTATAATAGAGTATCAGGATGGGCTCTGGCGGCTTATACTGGTAATCCTAGTTACTCAGGAGGCTGAGATCTGAGGATCTCAGGAAAGGCCATGAGACTCTTCAATTATCCACCAGGAAACCGGAAGTGGAGCTTTAGCTAAGTGGCAGAGAGCCAGCCTTGAGCAAACAAGCTCAGGGACAGCACCCAGGCCTAGAGTTCAAGTCCCACGACCGACAAAAAAATAAATAAATAAAATAAATAGTGAGAATTAAAAAGAGAAATTATTTTCCTACTTCGATAGTGGCTTCAGGCAAGAATAATTAAGAACATGTAAATCTAGTGGGTGAAAGTCTGATGAGCAGTAAAACAGATTGGGCCAAACCATTCCTACAAATTCCCGAGTAACTACAAAGGGACAATCAGTAGAAAGATCTGTCAGTTTTTGGTATCACCAATAACATATATTCCAGTGTGACCCATCAAAAATGGCACAGTAACCATTCATAATATTCCAGCTCAACATGAACACAGAAGACTCAAATTACGACAAACTGAGTAAGTAACCTTCTAAAGTTTAAACTGCAGTTTAAACTGGTTAACTTTCTGAAGTAAACATTCCATCCAGTTTAAAAATGCCCTCATCATGAACACAAAGGGAAGGGCAGGAGGATTTGGAACTGGTCCAGGTAAGAGGTGAGAAAACAGACATGAAAGCTACGTAGTGTTCCGTGTGACAACCACAATGAGGGCGAAGCGGCATCAAAGGGCCTGACAGGTGCGCCTGGCGCAGGTCTGTGTTCATGTTACAAACCCCAAGGTCCATGATCCTGAGGCTTCTCCAAGGGAGAATTATTCTTGGAAAAAGTAAACTGAAAAACTTAAAAATAAATAGGCATGTCTATCCTTTACATACATCACAAAGAAGAGGCAGGAGGAGAAGGGAGAGGGAGAGTGACCAACAAAACCAGCGCTGCCGTCAGCCATCAGGGAGTCTGTGAAGGGTGACACGTCTCTGCACTATTCCTGCCACTTTTCTGTCAAAGTAAAAAAGTTACATCTTGTTCTTGGGCAGAGTGTGAGCAGCCATTAATTCAAAGGAGAACTGTCCCCCTACTGCCTGGAACAACCCAGCCAGACACACCCTGCTCCTCTTCTGATGACCAAGAGCTGGGTGGTGGATGTTCACTCTGCCACTGCTGCGCAAAGGCTTCTTCAATTGTAACAAACGTAATAAACATCACTGGCAGCAAGGTTAGAAAAGCGAGATGCATGGTGGAGGGGAGCTGAACACCGAGCTTGTGCTGTGGAGGCAGAGGTCTGCGCCATGCTCCACGGACTTGCTCTGGCTGCCCGCAGGGCAAGCTCACGCCCCTGGGTACAGCTTCCAGCCCCCTGCACCTGTGCTGACCCTTCCTGATGCCCTGCCATCCTCCCGCTGCTCCTGCCTTCCCACAGCCGTGAAACCATCTCCCAAATCCAGGGCTACACACCAGTGTGAGCCTACCGCCAGTGTGTGTGTGTGTACACCAGTGTGAGCCTACCGCTCGTGTGTGTATGTGTGCACCAGTGAGCCTACTGCCAGTGTGTGTGTGCACCAGTGTGAGCCTACCGCCAGTGTGTGTGTACACCAGTGTGAGCCTACTGCTCATGTGTGTGTGTGTGCGCACCAGTGTGAGCCTACCGCTCGTGTGTGTATGTGTGCACCAGTGAGCCTACTGCCAGTGTGTGTGTGTGTGTGTGCACCAGTGTGAGCCTACCG